ACTTAAGGTGTGTGTGTGTGTGTGTGTGTGGAGGAGGATGCTATATATTTGAGCAAACTTTGGGTACTATATTGTATACATCTCAAGGGCCAAATACTTAGGGTTTTACCTCACTACTTTATGATGTATTAAAAGGAGTGAGATCTCTGTTACAAGTGCTCTCTCGTACACTCACACACAGACGCGTGACTGGAGGATGGTTGGTGGGGCGGCGATTCACTTAGTATCGGGTGCTATAAATCTAAGGGGTGGGTGTGGAGCGTGAGAACCGAAGTGTTTATAATCTCCAGGCTGTGTCCTCCCCAGCTGCCGCACTTTCTCAACACTTTACTAACTCATTTAATTCGCCGCAGTGCGCTAAGATGGTGGCGTTATGCACCATGGATCTGTCGCCCCCAGGATATGAGTCTGTGTCTGTTTATTTGTTTATCCTCAGCAAGATATCTTTAGCGTTAGATTATCGACAATATTTGACTTAACCTGTGGGATTAATCATGACAGTCACCGTATGTGTTTTGCAAGTGTATTGTTTCTTGAAGGTAATGGACAGGGAGCACCTTGGCCGCGTGGGGCTGAGTGGTGTTGGTGCAGGCTAAGGGTGGGTGGGGGGGTTGCCGCTACTACCACCCACCACCCTCCACGCCTGGCTCACCCCACGCGCCACACATCTCTGCTACCTTTATATGAACCCACTCTTAACCTTTTGTCTTGCTGACCCTACTCCGGGTCTTGATAAAACGCGTGAACTGGTTAAACATACAAGTAGTTTCCTTAAGGCTAAACTCATTTACATTATCACAGGAACAGTTTATGTAAAAGTATGTATTTGTTTTGTAAATATAACATTGGACCTAGTCGTAACTTAAAACGCGCCACACTTTCGCTTGAGGAACGGGTAGTGTAGTGCAGTGCGTTGTCTGAAGTGGCAAACACAATCTTGCTTCCCACGTGTTGCAACCTAAACTCGCCTGGTTTTGTAAAGTTCGCTTCACCATCACTCTCATTTGGTACAAAATGCGGAAACAAAAGACTGAGCGATTTCATTAGTACTAGAATGCAGTGTCTCCGTTACTCTGCATAAGGTTGACTTGAACTTGCGATTATCTATGTAAAACCAACCGTATTGCTGTCGTGGTTAAGGATTGTTTTGGTGTGGGCGTCAAGAACTGGGGTAAGGGGTGGAGGCGGTCACACTTGGCGGACGGCAATACTCATCACTACCGCAACACCCACCTCAACTACCACCACCAACACTTTCTCTTAAAATTTATCCGTCACACCCTTGTTGCTCTTAGGCTCGCGGAGACTGGGAGCGTGGGAGCACACACACACACACACACACACACAGGATGGCGAAGGAGAACGAGACAAGGTGTAGCAAACTTTGGGAGGCGAAGGAAATCACGGTTACGTAAAAGAGAAGTTGACTCAAGTGTTGCCTCCCACACACCACAGATCTGTAAAATATATACAGTAGTAGTTAACATCCACTATTTTATGTATAATGACAAATGATAGAAGAATAGTGACTTGTAGAATGAAAAGAGATATAATAGTGTTTGTAGTACCCCTGGACAAAAATGCACAAGCTGGCCCAAGTGACTACGCTACAGACTCCTTTCTCGGCTACTAATAAGGTTATTCTTGCTCATAACATTAGTGTTAGTGTACACTACTGTTATGTCCTTGCCTGTGTTGTGTGTATTGCCTCAGGGTCTACATAACCACTAAATAGTTTTATTGTTAATGGTATCTGTCCCCAGTGTTCGTGGCCGGCCTCACCGAGTCTGAAGGTGTAATCCCGGAAATGATTTTTTTTAATTTACCAGGAATATTGACATACATACATACATACATATAGTAATTCAGGTGTCCACGTACAGTAACTGTGTACAGTACTAGCCCGGGGTGACACTTGCCGCCTGCGACGCGCCACCAGAATTTGGCATCAGGGCTCGTGGCAGGTGTTGGGCCCACCTGTGGTGCCGCACCATCCTGATAGTGATGGATGACACACCTGTGTTACCCTAATTGTATACAGTGATAGTAACTCACCGGCAGAACCATAACACTTGTGCTTGTCTAATGTATTCGTTATTCTGTACACGTATATTGTATAAAGTTTATTAAACTCTCTACGTCACACAGACCATATTTTCATGAATGGAAGATTAGTTTGACAGGGAAGAATTACAAGTGGCTTTAGTCGTATTGGTGGGGTGGATGAGGGCCTAGAGGACGCTGATTGCTTATTTCATCGACCTGTTCCTACAAATGCCATAAAAAACAACTCTGGTCTGTAAGTTTTGTTTGACTTCCCGTCTCTCCTTGCGTCTCCTTCCTTTACCACATTCTCTGTCATCTATATACCCCCACATTCTTTGTCTCTCTGACCAGGACAAAGAATCTAATAATAACCAGCTGGCCTTGTTATAGGATCAACAAAGACGGGAGGAGTGTGTGACGTGCTGGGTCGGGAGGAGTGTGTGTGTGGAAAGGGTGAATTTTAGGGGTGGTAATTGTTGAGGATGAATAGGTAGCCTTTGAAGGGGGGCGGGGGGGGGGCATGTAATTGGCTAGTTGGTTGGCATGGTGTACATAGTGTGTGTATGTGTGAAAAGTTATCAGAGGGTGAAGGTACACACGGGAGGAGGCTGGGTGGCGGGACACTCCAGTTTAGGATCGATATAAGTTCCGCTGGTCCTGGGGGTAAGATCTCTCAGGGGACGTTGCCAGTCGCCACCCCACCCTCCTCCACCTGCTGCTAGTGATGATGGTCGTAGTGACAGTGATGATGGTGCTCTTAAAGGCGAAAATTAATAGTTTTGGTGATGGTGACTGGTTGATCGACTTGGTGCTGGTGGTATTGTTATAACCACAATCAGTAACTCAATCAACTAGTGTTTGTAGAGGTTGTGGTGCTGATGATGATGGTGGTGGTGATAGTGATAGTTGGTGGTGATAGTGATAGTTGGTGGTGATAGTGGTAGTCATGGTAATGTTGTTGATAGTCATAGCTGTAGGGTTGTGGTGATGCTGCTACTTATTTCACATGGTTTCATAAAGTAATGGTTCAAGGGATAGCGAGAGGTGTGTTGGGAGCATCACTGATAAAAAAAAGCTTGCCAGCTCAATGAATGCGAGAACCTTGATAATCGTTTCAAGAAAGACAAAAAAATATCACCCTGTATTATCCGACTGAAAGGAAACTACGAGAGGGCTAGCCAGGCAACAGTGTGTATGTAATATTGATTCGGGTAAATTCAAAGATTTGAATAGAGTTGGCAGTGCGTGAAACAAGTGAGTGTTGTGGTGCGCCGTGCCTGAGGATTGATTTCCGCGAATTTTGAAGCGTAACTGTGGTAGACTGGAGGAAGAGGAAGATGATATTGGTAACAAAAGCAACTGTAATGTTATATGATTATTCTCAGCAATACTTAGATACGACCTTTGTGTTGTGATACAAAGAGTATGAAGGAAACACTGAATTTGATGAATACTGTTTAGAGAAATGCGAGTTGTAAGATATCTTAACGATTATTATTTAACGCCACGTCAGTACTGTACCAGATGGTAATTAGGTGAACGTGATGGCGAGGTGAGGCTGGGGTAGAGAGCCTGAGAAGCGGGGTAACTGTGACTGGTGAAGGTGGTGAGGGTGTGGGTCCAGTCGAGTTAGAAACTGGGGTTGTGTGACTGCCAGGTGGTGGAGCCACTGCCAGGGGTAGAACAAGGCTCTACAATGAGGACAGTTCCCATGCATAACCTAGTGAGCGACGGAACATAATTAGCCTGCGGTCAGTAGAGCTGCCTGGGAATTTGTAATAACCTGTAGGCTCTTGTGGGCATCCAACTCGTTATTCAGGGCACACGTCGGAACAACTCAACAAATGTACTACTTCCCCCTTACATCTGTTGTTACCATCACTAACAAGAATATCTAAAATGATTAAGTTTATTTCAGATGCTCCCAGACCTAGATTATAACAGATTACGACACAGTAGAATATGCCTCGATACTCACAGAATATAACTTTCAATATTTGCAACGTTTGTCATGACAGAACAAGTGTGGTGATGACCACGGAACAGTAGAGGAAGGTAATGATCATTACTGATGTCGCTCTAAGTCAAGGCGATATGAAAATTTTGATGCCTGAAACCCATAAATGTTTCATAATCATAAAAAGGTATAGAAACCACAAGTGGCTGTGTGTACCAATACAAACAATATGAGCTGCGGGAGTAAACTGCACCTCATCCAACTTGGTGCTGTCACTTTCCACTGTGGTAATCAGAACGCGGCGCGCGTGGGTGGCAGTGCGTCACCTCCGCCACCACTGCCGCCTTCCACTCCTGTAAATACTGCGTAACATTCAATGTCATAATATTCTGACCACGGGGATTAATTTTTCTGACCCTTTGTAAACCATACTCTGTAATCCTTTTGCGCTACCGCTCACCGGAAGAGTATGTGGTGCACAATAAACTAGCGCTATAAGTGGCAAAATAAAAAAAATCAATCACTCCTGTATCTCCAACACCACCATTAATAACCATCATCTTACACGACCGAAACTAGCCCATTACCAGTCACAACCACAGAAACCATCCTCCTCACTCTGGTTCAAGTTCCGTATGTTTTATTGTCTTTTAACCCTTCAGTAAATACACTGGCTAGTTTTTTAAAGATCGAGTGAACACTTCCTATTTTTGGTATCTGGTGTTTTTAGGGTAGGCCTACAGGTATTTTATTTTTCTTTATTTAAAAATTTGTCATAGGTTTTGGGTCATATTTGATGAACTAGACCAAACCTAACGATTTGAGAATATATTTTTTGTTAAAGAAAGTTATATTCTTGACAATTTTGTACTTACTGTATGTCCTATTTTTTCCCATTTTCGATTTAGCACAGCACAGCCATAATTGATAAAGTATTGTTTCTATATGACCATTTTTAAACCTCCGTCACTAATTAAGATATTTTATTTGTTCACAGGAGAGCGGCCTTTTGAGTGCAGATGGCCCACTTGCCGCAAACGGTTCGCTCGTAGTGATGAATTGGCGCGGCACACAAGGACTCACACAGGGGAGAAGAATTTCGTGTGTCCTGTCTGTCAAAAACGATTCATGCGATCAGACCACCTCAGGTAATAGATTATTATTATTATTATTATTATTATTATTATTATTTGTTTGTTTCACTTCGGTAATGGAAAATAAACATGATAGAACTAAGGTTGGAAATACAGAAATGAAAATGTATGAGGTAGTGGGAAATTATTGAATAGTTTACCCTCCAAAAAATGTAGAGGAGCACGTGTAAAATTTGACAGGAAGAACAAAAATGGTCCACAGTGAAAGTAGGGTTACGACAGGATGTGTAATGTTCTCATGGTTCAATATCGTATATTTTTTTTTTTTTTACTGATAAAGTAGCAAGAGAGGAAAAGTAAGATTAATGTAAGGGGAGAGCATGGGCGGTAAATAGGAAACTGTACAGGAGGGTAAGGGAGCTATTGTTCCAGATGACAGTACAGTAACAGTACCTTGCTTGGGGGGATTCAAAAGTTACTGTACATATGTTACTGAATGGGTATGGATTGGGAACTGTGGACTAAAAAAAAAAAGATGCTAATTATGAATAAAACAAAAGTGATGAAAAATACTTAGAGAAGGGAGACAGGGAGAAAGCATTGTTGGTTAAAATGTAAATAGACAGAGGGAAGTGAGGTGTTTCCGTTATCTGGGAGTGGGTGTGTCAGTAAATGAAACAGTGGGTGACAAATTGAATCATGAGTAGGAGGGGGAAAGAATGTAATGCGGGAGAGGAACATGGAAACCGCACATTAGAAGTGATAGGGATGATGTACAGGTGAGCAGCAGTATGTAGGATGAATATGATGAAGAGAATAAAAACTGTAGAAATGATAAGAGGTGTAGAAAGTATAGCATCCAGTGGTCTAAGAGGATGTGACAGCAGTTAAGAAAAAAGATGAAATCAATAAACATGTTCAACATGGTACTGTACTGTACAGTACTGTATTGTATGATATTACAGTATGCATAAAATCCCTTTCATTTCAAAATTAGCCTGATTACTTGTTTAATAATTTATTTAACGCATTAACAACTGTTGATTTTGTGAGAAGATATTTTTCAACTTATTCATAAAATAGTAAACTTTTAATTGAATAAGAATAATGTTCTGTAAGATAATGTTCTGTAGGACAGCATCCTGTGCATATATTTTAATGACTAATTTTCTTTACAGCAAACACGCACGCCGCCACCCAGACTTTGACCCAGCATTGCTTCGGCAACGGCGTCATGCCCTACCATCACTGCCCACCTCCACATCTCCTGCTGTTATGTCAGACAGTGAAGAACCAAGCTCACCTTGAGGTCTGCCAGACATAGGATGTGTATCCAAGCTGCTGCCGTCTCTGTGCCAGAAGCGGACCTTTTGCCGCACAGTACAAAGTGGCGTTATTTTTCCAGCGCTGCAACCTCATGAGGGGTGATGAGGCGTCATAGTGGTGCAAGAGAGGACCAATATGGGATTGTTTAAGTGATTCTATGGTGTGATGTTCGTTGAATCCACCCACTGAACGTTCGATCCACCCACTTACATATTTGTAAATATTGTTTTTTCTTCGAAAGTTAATAGGCTCTACCCACTCAGGTCTGTGAGGCATACCACACAAAACCTACAATTGCTCAGCATTACGTATTGAAGTGCAACATAATGTAACGGTGATCAGTCTCATGTATCATCTGTGCACATGCTTTCATCGGCTCAAAACAGATGTGATGTATATATATTTTACATAAAACAGTTAATGATGCTCTTTTGATATATAATGTATTTTTAATTGTGTTCCATGACTTATGGGAGTGTATCACAGTTGTGTCTTGTAATTCAGATTCATATACATATCTTATAAATAGGTTCAAATTGTAATCATATGCACATGTATATGTATACCTATGATACCTATGTATTCCTCATGTATGAGTGTGTGATCCTCTATATCCATTTGAAGCACCATGGAAGACTATTCTGGGGCTAACCTAAGCCTTTTAAAAGACAGTGGAGCCAGTCGGAAATCAATCACTTGGTCTCCATAGAATACAGGGTTATTTGATAATCAGAGGATGTTTTACCCTACCATGTACAAGATGTTTGTGTGATACAGCCAGCAAGAACTGAGCCTGTGGAGTTTTATTACTGTATAATAAAGAAACATGCTGGATCTCTCCAAGGTCTGCATCTGCTGGCTTTCTCACATGTCTTATTTTCCGAGTCATTTCAGTGCATACAAGTTAATGTCAGTATCAATAACTCATATGATTTGTCTCAATACCAGTACATTAAGCACCATATATTTATATTGTTGTTTCAATAACATACACTCAGGGTGTTTTGTACTGTGGTTGACTTAGGTTTTGATATTTAAATGTCAACCTTTTTATTTTATTTTATTGTACTCAAAAAAGGCTTTACTATGATGACGTTAACTTTATTATGCTGATTATGACAGGTTGTAGTACTTTACCTGGTGCTATAAAGTGCCTTAGATGGTTGGAGCACCAATGTTCCCAGACTCAGCATCATCCCTATGTGTGTAAGATGTCCAGTCAGTATCCTCTCCAAATCAGCCCACTTCTTTCATCCTTCCTATCCCTTTTCCTTGTGTTAGTTACTGTAGTATCACCTCAATATGTGCATACTACACAAGAATTCATATGTTTAATGTTAGGCATTATTTATCCATATATACTGAACTTCATGTATTCATGTTGTATCGCACACTTTAATATTATTTAACATACCTCTCACTGCGTTCCTGTGGAGGTGCGCCACTTTTGAGATGTCGGACTGGAATGCAAATAAATTTTCTGGGTAGCATTACAGTGGCCAGTTTTCTTAGCAACTAATTGGCATTAGTTACTTGCCAATAAGCACAATTGTCAGCAATGCTCTTACCTTATATTTGAGGCCTTGGGAGGTAACTAAGCAAAGCCCAGTACTAAGTACTAAGAAGAACTTTCCTGACTGGAGGATAAAGTGTTGACAGCTTTTTGTAAGGGAAAAGGTATATTTTATAACTAAAACTTGTTATTCACTTTGTATAGTACAGTGTTGGTATAGGTGAATGTTCATACAGTATTTATATGTATTATAATAGTGAAGTTGATTTACTGTATGTTATGATGTACCTCATTAAAAGTGAAACATTTCTTTATATAATTTATAACTAATTAGTAGAAATTAATGTTTTGTTATTTACCAAAAGCTGTCAGTCAAGTGTCTACACAAATTTATGCTCATCATTTTGCAGTGTCCTATCTCAAACCTGAAGACAACGTGTGTGTCTAGTCACTACAGGGCCTACCATAGGAAACGTAAAGCAGAAAGCAAATGACCTTACAGTGCATAAACATAGCCATGTCATTTGAATATTTATTTACTCTTTTGATTCACAAAACAGCTAAAAAAAAGATATTTGCCATTGTTTTACGTAATTTATGGATGTGAAGCCGGCGCAGTGTTTAATGATAAAACCTCAACTGTAGTGCCATATGATTAAGTAAGGAGAGGGTTTACGTGGCTTAAGGCCAGAGTGTTTATGTTATCCTCACTTGTATTGAAAACAGTTCATGAGTAGTGGGGCTTAGACTAATAGTTACTCTCACGATAGATTCAGTGAATGTATCCAGTGCAATGATTCAATGCCACCCCAGAGAATATCTGCCAAACAAAAAAAAAGAATCATATTTTTCATAAACATGACTGTCATAGTAATGATACTCATTCATTTCATCTTGTGTAAAGTTAGTGACTTTTCAAGGCAGTCATGTTATAGGAATAAAAATGTTTCCACTTGTCCTCCATCTAGCACCTTCAAGATGAGGTATGCCAGGCTGAAACAACTATATGTGATCTTCTGTATACCCTATCAAGATTAAGAGTACAGTACTTATTTTCAGTACTTAAAGATATTTAACATCAGCATTGTCAAATCTTTTACACTATTCCATATTTGTGTTACATTAACTGGACAAATGTAGTGAACATTGATAGGTAGATGACCACATCATGAAGATTTTACACTTCCTATTATAATGTGTACATCAATGTATGGAAATGTGGTCAAGTGTAAATGAGGTGACACCAAGATGCTGGGCTACTGAACGGCTTCTTTCTCCTGCCCTGTGTTCCAAGGGTCTCAATTTAGTGTTATTTTTAATTCAGATTGTACAAAAGACATATAAGTGATTTAATGCATTCATTTTTTTAAAGAAAGGTTGTTCATTTATATATACAATATTGTGTTTGTAAGTCAGGAAATTAAAAGGGTTTCCTTTTACCCATGTTCATTGGAGTTGAGGAATGTATTTTGTTTTGTTTAACCCATTTTAGTTCTCTCCAGTTGCTACTGTTATTATCTGCTGTGGTAGACATCTTCAATGCAGTAATTAATTCTCATTTGGTTTTGAAGTTTTTAATAACATGTAAATCATCTACACATCACATCCTAAATACAATAAATGCAAAGTATATCAATGATGATGTAACTGGAGTGATCTGAGTGGTCTGTGGTCTTTTTTCAGGAGATTTCATATTGCCATTTGAAATGTTCACAAATCAACAAGATACAAATATTTACTGCCAGTTTAAAGAAGTATTGCTATAATATTGTACTTAGCATGCAGTGTTGAATGTAGTCACCTGTACATTACAATGACACCAGTACATATCTCGAGGTAATGTTGTGAATGTATCAAATGATTTCCATGTATCTCCAGAACATGACCCAATCCCAATGTTATCCTGAGAAGTCTTTCATAATGCACTTTCCAGAGCGAATATTTTTGAGGGGAGCTAATTGTGTCATCAGCCAAAAATGGTTTGTTTCATAATCTTGAAGACAATGTCGAAATAGTTGTGTAAATAAAGAGAAATTATGTATGTATTTTTTTATTCATCCATCAATTTGAATGAGGTTAATCAAAGGACTCCACATTTCTTGACTGCAGACTAACCAATGAACTCTGTAATTCTTACTTTAATAATGAAGGAAGCAGTTGATCTAAACACTTGTACAGTAATTTGTTACATAACAGGTAAACCCCCATGGTATAGTCCACTCTAGAGGAAAATAAATTACTGTGGAGGCCGATCACTGTCGGTGCAAGAGTTCTGTGGCAGTGCAAAAAATTGTAAGTGGTGGCAAGAAATTTGACTGGCGCACAACCATCATATTTTACATACTGTACTAGCGGCCATTGCATAATTATACAGATATACAGTACTTTGATTATGAAGCAGATTCAGTAAATTTCAGGAAAAAATTAATTATGCAGATGTATTTGATGACTGATGCCATCAAGGAATATATGAGAATGATGTGCAGTTCTATTAAAATGAAACGACAACAATTCATTACAAAGGAACTACGAAGTTTAAAACACACAATCCATAATTTACACAAAACCGGAGTACTGTACAGTGTATAATATTTTATCATGACAAGAGTTTTATTTATTTTTTTAAATGAAGGATATACATGATGTCCTAGTTCCTGAAGAGTCAGCATTGAACAAAACGGAAATAATGTACTGTACTGTACTGTACAGTACACTTTTGTATATGATGAGAGAGTTCTCTATGCTGTACTGAATGCATGGATATGTTCTTATATTTCAGGTTTTTAACAGTTAGAAATATCAAAGAAAAAAAATATATTATTGATATGAGAAGCAGATTCTTAAGCAAATTATTAATGCTCAGTTATATTCAATAAAACCACCTGTGTATCCATGACCACGAGAGGTCCTTCATATCAACATCTACGGACGAGTTACAGCACTACGTGAACACCACACCGCCAGGACGACTGAAACGATAACAATACCAAGTGAGATTAAGTCAGGTCAGGTTTCATATTAGATCACGTAAACTTTGTTTACCTTTTGCGGTATATATATATATATATATATATATATATATATATATATATATATATATATATATATATATATAGCACACACACACACACACACACACACACACACACACACACACACACACACACACACACACACACACATACATACATACATACATACATACATACATACATATATACATACATACATACATACATACATACATACATACATACATACATACACACACATACATACATACATACATACATACATACATACATACATACATACATACATACATACATACATACATACATACATACATACATACATACATACATACATACATACATACACACATACATACATACATACATACATAATATATATATATATATATATATATATATATATATATATATATATATATATATATATATATATATATATATATATATATATATAAAAATATTTCCTGAAGATGTGAATTACATGAAAGTGCTTGAACTTCGTGTTTCCTTGTGTTTACGCACACCTTCAGTGATTTACTTGCATATATATATATATATATATATATATATATATATATATATATATATATATATATATATATATATATATATAGTTTACTAAAAGATAGTTCTCTTCAGTATTATTCAGTTTAAAAATCTTGAGCTACTTGATAATACAGTATTACATCACTCTACAGTGTCAACACGTAATACAGCATGTCAGACGAGAGTTTCTCCTTTAATAGAGCATTAAACTTTAATTCCCCCTCCCCTTGCTGACTGCCCTTTACAGAGTTAAGTAAAAAATAAGTTTTGTGTGTTTCTCTCATGCTGTGTTGCCTCGAAGTCTGGTTATACATGGTCCGTATATTATGCTTGATACTCGTATTATCTGACCTCCTCGGCACTACATAGTTGGCCCTCTAGCCGATCGGTCATTTCGTTGCCCACTGTTGGCACGTAGTGGGCGGGCGGACACTGGCTCTAGAATTTACCGAACATAATAATAATAATAATAATAATAATAATAATTAACGGTTTATTGAAAGAGCTTGGCAGCCAGAAGGCTGAAAATATACAGTTACATATTTGGGGAATGGGTTACGAATTACAAATAATATACAAGTGACATAAGTGACACAAATAAGACATATAGTAACTTAGATGTATAGTAACTTAGATGGGGATCAGCTCAAACTACAGTTGATTTCAACATAGTGACAGTGTAGGGAGCAGTGTTTACTGGGAGTGAATACACTGATTTATTACATGTTATTGATAATTTTTACAATGGTTGGGACATGCGCCACACTCGGTGTCGTCACAACACAGGCAAGTTATTTCAAGAGTTCACAACTCTTACTCGAAAGAAGTTCGCTTTAAAATTTATTTTGTACATGTTGCTTTTTAAACCTGAGGCTGTGACCTGTAGTGATCCGTGGTGGGGTCCTTTATGAATGATTCATGGACTTTACAGATGATGGATGTGGGGTTCACGGTCTCATAGGCCTACTATACAGGTACAGTATATTGTTGCTGGCAAGTATCCCCGATTTTTCGTCTTGAATAATGGAGTCATCTTCGTAGTGTTACGCTCTTCAAACACTATTCTGAACAATGTGATGAAGGTCATAACCAACAGTCTGCTTCACAATATTTTGTATTTTTACCAGTAACCCTCAATGTATTGTGTCTGGACCTGGAAATTTATCCATCTTGATCTTCTCTTGTGAATTAAAGATCATTAAGGATGACTTTTTCCAGTGGTTCTTCTGTAGAAGTGTTAGCGATCCTGAATCTGCTTCCATCATGTTATAAATATACACAATATGAACTTTTCCACGGTGTGTAGTAGTAGTCCGCCGTGCATCAACATCGGTCGCATGAACCGGCCGGCAGGGTTTTTTTTTTACGGGAATTAGCCAACCCGGGCACAGGTCAAACGACCCACAACGGAGCCTGGGGGGCGAAAAAAAAAGAACGGAAAGAAATTGAAAATATAGAAAAAAAGGTCATACTGTATTAATCTACACCACGAAGATGCCGGAAAACCAGCTTTATAAAGTGAGACAGATTGTAAGAGCATGGAAACACAGAAGAAGGCAAAGCATTCCACAGTTTGGCTGTGTGAGGAAAGGAGGAGGTACTATAACGGGCTATTCTCGTGTGACCGATATCAACAGAGAAATGGTGGGCACCGCGGGCAAGACGTGTGTTACGAACCCACGGCCTTATCGGCGGTACACAGGATGCCAAATCCCCTGAACATTGCCCGTTAAAGTACCTGTAAAAGAGAGAGAGTGAAGCAACATTGCGGCGAAGAGAAAGGGGAGAGAGATTGTCGACTAAAGGAGGAGAGTTAATAAGACGAAATGCCTTTGATTCCACCCTATCTAATAGTTGGACAGAAGAAGAGCCACCCCAGATATGAGAGCAGTACTCCAAGTTAGGACGAATGAATCCCTTATATACTTGGAGCAACTGCTCAGGAGTGAAGTAGCTGCGGCATCTGTACAGCATTCCCAACTTTCGGGAGGCAGCTTTAGTTATACTAAGGATGTGTGATTTCCAGGACATATTGGAGGAAATGGTGAGGCCTAACATATTTATTTCAGAATTTGGGGGGATGATAGCGTCCTGAAATGTAATTGGTGGGAGATCGTCTACTTTACAAAGTGTAATTGGTAAATATTGAGTTTTGTTACTATTGAACTTAACCAAGTTTGTATCTCCCCATTCAGAGATGCTGCACAGATCCGTGTTGATAGAAGTAATGATATCAGTTCTAGAAACAGATCTAGTTTGAGAGTTAGGAGGAAGGGGAAAATGTGAGGAAGAGTGAAGAGTAGAGTCATCGGCGTAAGAATGGATAGAATTAGTTGTAGTGTGAAGTAATTCATTGATAAAAAGAAGAAAGAGAGTTGGTGAAAGAACAGAACCCTGTGGGACGCCACTATTGGTAGAGAAAGAGCGAGAAATCGATCCCTCGACAACAACTGCCATGGATCGGTTCTCAAGAAAGCTAGAGATGAGAGAACAAAGTGGGGGAAAGAAACCAAAAGAGGGAAGTTTAGATAGCAAAGACTTGTGCCATACCCTGTCAAATGCTTTGGAGATGTCGAGGGCCACGACAAAAGTTTCCCCATAATCCCTAAGGTGCAAAATGTACAGTCTATTTGTCCTTCTGTCCCTCACTTTTACTATACATAAATCTGTTCCGCCTTAGATGGTCCGCCGTGGCACTTAACATATTCATGGTTTTCTGATAAACTCAAATTCGAGGAATTTTCTCTCGATCTCTACAAATCCTAACTGGTCTGTAAGGGAGGGGGGGGGGGGATGTTTTAATAATGATTTCATCAGTTGATAATATTCATTACATCAGTTGAGAATATTTGTAAGGGGGCAACTTTTCTATGTTTGGCAGCGGCCACTTTATTTCTCTATAACTTAAATAACCTTCCTTAATTTTCTAAGTTATATTATCTTTTACTTAGCGATTTAATTGCTAATTCTTTTCTAATTTTGTATTTCCAAGTATTTCTTTCAATGTCATTCTTTGTTTATTATATTTTCCTTTAATTATTCCAGTATTTATCAGTGCTTATTGTTGGTGTAATTCCTCTTACTTCTATTTTCAGCTCTGCTTAATTATATTCTGTTCAATGGATTAACCTGGGAAAGCCATATCATTCGTTAACATCACCTCATACTTTAGTATAATTATTAGACTTACGCGGTAGACTGCCACCGCCCAGGCTTTTATTTAGAATATAACTTCTATCATTAAAAGTTTTAGGTCGCGTGGTAGACGAACTTAGTCACGTGAGTTACAGTTTTCATTTTCTGAGAACCAATTGTTAAACGGAAAGGGGAGGTGATACTCACAGTCTACAAAATCAATGTTTATTAAAATCAAATGTGAATAATATGACAATATGAACCTTAATCCACAACAACAAAAACTAGGCTCAATCACTGATTACTTTACTGCAATACTCAGACA